CCCGGCAGCACCCAACATGGAACTGCTCAGCAGCCTGCTCGGACTCGGTGCCGGTGCAGGCGCCGGTGGCGCGACGGGAGGCCAGCCGCCGGCCAACCCCTTCGCCGCTCTTGGTGGTCTCGGAGGTGCTGGCGCCGGCGGACAGGGAGCAGGAGCCAGTCCCTTTGGCGACCCGGCTCTGCTGCAGCAGCTGCTCGGAGGGCTTGGAGGCGCTGGTGGAGGAGCGCCGGCCGCGCCGCGCGATTCCCGACCTCCCGAGGAGCGCTTTGCGACGCAGCTCGAGCAGATGCAGGCCATGGGCTTCTACGACGGAACGAGCAACGTGCGCGCGCTGCTCATGGCCGGAGGCAGCGTCGAGGGTGCCATCGGCATCCTGCTCGACAACCCCAACCCGCCTCCGACGGGTGGTCAGTGAGCGGCATCGTCCAAAGCCGAAAAAGCAGAGTCGCACCGGACACCCGCGCGACGCCCGCGCCCTTGTACATACCGCGTCGCGCGACGACTTCAGGCCGGCCTTCCTCGCAGCTCCTCATGTCCTGCAATGGCACGTTGGCCACAGGCCTCCAGGCGATCGGCAGAAGCTGACGCGATCAGCTGCCCTAGTCCCGACAGATGGGCGAACCACCAAACGTCGATGCACGCCTTGTTCACCCCTCGGACTGACCTGCACCCCATATCCATCACCTCGGGTTGCCTCCCCTGACGCCCTCAGTCGATGCTGCACCCCCTTCCTGGAGGAGCTTCCATTCCAAAGGTCAGATGAGAGGACGCAGAGGTTACAGCTGCGAACGGAGCGCGGGGACGCGACAAAGGATCAGTGTCCAGTCGGAGTGTGGGTATGGCTTGCGTCGGTGGTGACCACCTAGGACGCTGCTGGACCCCTGCAAAGCAATCGAGGCTGCCAAGATACGCGCGCGCTAACGCTGTAGAGGGCGCTCAGGCGTACGCCTTCTGAGCCCGGGTGATGTCGCCGACGATGGAGTCGCGGAGGCTCTGAGCCTGCGTCTTCCTCTCCGCGGGCGTCTTTGCGACGGCGGCGTCGGCGAATCCGTTGACCGAGGTGGCGAGCTTGTTGACGTTGCTCTGGACGAGGCCGACGACGCCGGCCTTCTGGAAGCCGGGCTTGATGGCAATCAGGCGGTCGACGGTGGCCGTCGACGTCGTCTTGGACGTCTGGAGCTTGTCGAGCACCTGGTCGGCCTGGTCGACCGAGACCGTGTCGATGGCGCCAAAGTCCTTGGTGGCCGTGTCGAGCGACTTGACCAGGTTGTCGACGTCGCCGGTGATGGCCAGGTCGGCGAAGTAGTCGGTACCGTCGGTGCCCTGCAGCCGCTTGTTGAGCGTGCTCAGCTTGGCGTTGACATCGTCGATGTCCCTGCGACGCGGCGCGGCGCGGAGCAACGTGAAAGGTTCAGCGGGAGGGATCTGACCAAAGGAGTCGCTCGAATCACACGGACTCAAAGACCACCTGCACCACTCACTTGAGGACGGTGGCAAAGTCTGCAAGGACGACGGTGAAGAGGCAGGCAAGAGCAGCAAAGGTGATGAAGAACTTCATGGCGGGCTGGCGGGCTGGCGGGCTGGCGGGTCTTTGGGATCGGGCTTTGGGGCTTGGGAGCTAGGTGATGGCAGGAGAGATGCTGTGGGAGGTGGGCTGGTTCGATGAGGATGAGAAAAGGACGGGGAACGGTCCCTGACCTTGGCCTAGATATACCTTTCTCGCGGGGCCCGTCGTCGCCTGGAGGAGCACCGGGCAGGGAGCCTCGATGTTGCAACGAGGCGCCATTGGCCTCCCTCCTTTCACCGTCCCCAAAGCTGGCGGCTGCGTCGGTGAGAGCACGCTGCGCTAGGCTAGGTGCTTGGACGTCCTTGGCGGTCTCGGCAGAACCACCAGGCCGTCCCATCGTCCGCCCTGTCACGTAGCGCCGGGCGGGGTTGCTGATTCGCCACCGCAGCAACGCCTCGGCAGCACACGCACGGGTTCAGAGCACAAGGCCGGCATCAAGTCGTCGTCGGTCCGATCCAGTCCGCCCGGAAGGCAGTCACAAACGGCCAGTCATCACGACGGCCAGTCCTACAGCAGGTGACGGGGCTCAGCCGGGGCGTAGATCGTCAAAAGGCGGAGGAGAGGGGGAGAGACAATACAGAACCGTCTAGTCGTCGATATTGGTTCGCTTCACTAGGCGATCCGCAATCTGGGCGCAGTCGGCTATCGACATCATCTCCGGTCACCGCCTTGATCGTGCAAGACCTGCCCATCTCGCGCACAGCTCCGAGCTGCTGACCCGTGCCGTCCAGTGGTCCCGACGGTGGGCTGAGCCATCTTCTGCCCGCCACAACGTAACCTTCGTCTGCTCCACTGTCTGTGCGAAGTCAAGTGCCAAACCCGGCTTGCCGAGCCAGAGAGCGTCCCCGTCCAAGCAGAATGGTCCTGTGAGAGTCCGCACACATACGGCTCTGCCTCTCTCACCTGTAGCTCTCGAGCCGGAGAAGGGCACCTACCTGCTCGTGAGCCGCGAAGCTTCTATCGCTCTTCGGAGTCTCTCGCTTCCCTCGGCTTCTATGCCAGCTCGACGAGTCCGGGGAGACATCTCTGGCGCGAGGATTGTCTGTCGCTGTCCACGGAGCAAGGTACAGTACCAGGACGAAGCTGCCGCCGACCGAAGGTGCCGTGGTCCTGTGAGATGGCCTGTGCTTGCCGGATTTGACCGCCAAGACGCCGTAGCTTGTCGAGGCAGTGCCAGCTACAAAGTCTCTCGTGGTGTCGCCCGTAGAGTCAGCCACACTTGGCACCGGTCGACGCACGGTGCCGCACCATCCTAAGTCTTGGGCAGGCGTTTGCCCATCAGCAGACGGAGATGGTTGTCGCGTCGAGCTCGAAACGCCCGGGACGGTGCCATGAGCGCGAGCCCAACGGTCGAGTGACTTGTGAAACCGTCAAGCCGTCTGGCGACCCGGTGTGGGGCAAAGATGCGAGGACGGCGATGTGAGGTCAGATGATGGTTGACGGGCAAGTCAAGGACGAGACGACGGCAGTCGGGGCGGTGGCGGCGGCGGTGGCATTGATGGACGGCATGCAATGAACAGAAGCTAAGGATTCTCGAACACTTTGGTGCCTGGTGCGTTCGCTACTGCCGGGGAGCATCAATGCTCCGTGATCCACCCGAGGATGACAGCCGCCGACGGAACGAGATCTCATATGGACCGCCGTAGCGAGGCTGATGGGAACGACGAGGATCCGCGGCCAAGACGACGCACGGTGGCAAGAAGGACGCCCTTTTCTGCCCACCGACTCGTCTTCTCGGGGCTTCGCTCCGCTCCGCCACCACCCACTTCCGACATCCCCTGCTGGCATGGCCCGCACTTCACGATGCGACTTCATCGCCCTCTTGTCTCCCTCTGTCCTCAAACTGTCTCGCCGAGTCCGGATCCGGCCATCTCCCTGATCCCTAGCAGGCCAGGTTGATCGTCCTGCGGCTCCCGGAGGCATCTCAAAGCGTGGCTACTTGACCGCTGTCGTACTGCCAGGCATCGAACTCGTCCCCCCCGCCGCGGTCTGTCCGCGCTTCGGATCGATCATCGCTGTAATGATTCTTGCCGCGCCGCCCCGCCTATGCGATTCGACAGGACACCACGCGCCTTCGATGACGACAGTAGTCGAGATCGCCCGCGACCGACTCGAAGTCGTGGAGGCCAAGCTCCGGGATGCAAAGCCCGTCGATGCCCGCGGCCGCCGTGTGGTGTTACGATTGGGCAGCACACGTCGGGCAAGCTCAGGTCTGACGATCTCCTGTGCGCGACTCGAGAGGCAGACAAGGCCCCGGAGCGACCGAACGGACCTCGTCCGGCCATGGCCTCGAGATCAGCGGGCAACGAGCGCGAGAGGCACTGCGCCACGGCCGGCCGCAAGATCGCAACCCGCGCCCCAGTGGCGGACAGGCGACCACCAACGCGCCCGGGATAGGGGGCAGCGCGGGCAAGCTCAAAGGACAGGAGAGCAAGCCACAACCGGAAGACGGCTGCGACGACTCAGCCCTGTTGCATCCGGTCTCATCGACAGCAGCGCATCGTCACCATCTCCTGTCCGCACACGCACAAGAGCGGCGGCAGCGGACGTCCCATCCGCGCAACTACCCTGTCGGCCGGTCTGGTCCTCTATGCACCGCCTCTTTGACCATCGCCGCGGCCTCGACGCCGCTCGAGGCCTCACTGTTCGACAGCTGCCTGACCTCTGCCCGCCGGCCCGACTGCTATGGATGACAGACGTCGACCCATTCCCCCGACACAGCTCCCCGCCATTCGGTCACAACCTCGACTTCCGTCCGTGCCTCTATGCACATCTACTCAGCGGCTCTGGCAGCCACAGCCGATGCTCTCCCACTAGCGCTTCAAAGAGGCTAGGCTCGGGCGTCGAGACAAGGCTGAACATAGGCCAGCGCGCTCTCATCTCGGCATCGGAAGCTCGGAAGCCGAACCGGGTCACGCGAAGCTTGAGCTCGAGCCTTGCTTTCGGCCACAAGAGGTATGGCCTCCCCTCAAGCACCACAAGGAGCAGGAAAAGGCCCTTCGCAGCTGCTCTAGCATCGAGGCGGGCCGCCCATGCCTCTGCTCACGCGTCTGCCCAGCGCCGATGGTTGGCGTTCGTCGCAAAGGGCAAGACTTGAGGGGGGGGATGGGGGGCCGTCGACAAGAAGCAGCCAAAGGAGCCGGCGGGCAAGGTCGTGGCGTGGCGTCGACGCGGGCACGTCCCCTCGTCGTGGCAGTTGTCCAGACCGGGACAGTTGTCGGCCCCGTCGTTGATCCGACTCGACCAGACAAGCCAGCGGAGACCCATACGCTCGCCCTCCATCGATCGCTGAACCTGAGCGGATGTCGGCCACGCCACTCTCTCTGGTTGCCACCGCAACTGGGTCCATCGCAACGTCGCCCAGCTCCGACAGAGCTCCAGAACGCTTGCCGGCAGCCTGTTCGGGTCGTGCCTACGAAGAGGCAAGAGATCCGCCGGTTCCTCCCTACCTCGTCCTGTCCTCGCCTTAGCTTGCCTCTCGTCTTCCTGCTCCTCCCGGCCCTCGCTGTTTGCCTGTATCAAGCAAGTGCCGTTCTCACGCCGATGGTGCGGCAAGGTTGCTCGGTGGCTGACACCGTCGAGCGGTGTTGTGATGCTGTCAGCCCACCTTCTTGGGGATTCTATCTTCGACATCCGCCAGGGCACAGCTAGGAGATGATCGCCGGCACCGACAGCTGAGCGCGATCACGTCTTGTCTCACCCACGGTGGGTACCGGTTCTAGGCGCTGTACCTCGCTCACGGGCGGGCGGTAGCTCGAGATCGGAGGCCGTTGTTCCATCGGAAACGGGACGCGCGGTACGGGTGCGCCGGGGCCCAGGGGGCACGCAGCTGAGGTTGCCGCTGAGGCCCCGTGCCTGGCACGCAAGCCTGGGCATAATAGTGTAACCCTACCTGCACCGTCAAAGACGCCGAGACGGGGTCGCCCAGCTGGGCTTGTGGGCCCGCGGACCGTGAGAGGGCAGCGAGCGAGTGGGCGAGGGAGCGTGTCTGATCGATGCGACGTGCGTTGGTTCTGTAGGCGTTTCTGGAATGCCGCTCGCTCGCTCCCTCGCCAGCATGCTGCAGCCTAGCCTGCCTGTCCATCCGCCCGTCGGCCCGTCCGATGGGCTGCTGCGGATCAGTTCGGATCGAACCCGGCGGTGTCGCAGAGCAGGCCGGCTTGGGGCAAGCAAGAGCAAGAAATGGACAGCATGCCATGCCATGCCATGCCACCGTATCCACGGCGGCCAGCAGGCTCGCGCTTGGGCAGGACAAGCAGCGACTCTACCTAGGTCCATCTGCCGATCTGCTGGCCGACGAAGCATCGAGAAGACGTGCGAACGATGCACACGGGCAGAAGGAGCTCTCAAGCTTGAATGATGTCCCCCGTGAGGTCGCTGCTCTCCGGCATTCGTCGTCGGCCCGCCACGTCTTTCGCGGCGCAGCCGTCGTTCGTCGATCGTCGGGCGTCGGTTGTCGAGAGTCGAGAGGCGACCAGCCAGCCCCCCACCCCCTTCTTTGGCTCTGCTCCCGGCGGGGCAAGGCCGACGACCGAGTTTTGTCTTAGGGTGCGGCCCCTCTTTTTCTTTCGAGGCCCTCCCTGCCTGTGCTGGTTTTCGAAAATAAATTTCCCAAATTGTGCTCGCCGACCCGAGTCGGTGCCCCAAGGAGATCAGAGCTGACTCTTCTGTCGCTGGGCGCCGTTCCGAGGTTGAAACGCGGGCGTCGTCAGGTTGCTGGGTCGTGGCAGGCGGTCGGTCGAGTCGAGGGGGCCCACCCCCCACTGTGCGCCGCGGCGCCGCGTGTTGTCGCCGCCGCTGCCCGCCATCGTCGCCCTAGGCCTGCCTGCTGCTGGCCGCTCTCGTCTCTCAAACCGGTGCTTGCACCCCGTGGTCTTAGACGCTCGCCCCCTCTCCTCGGCCCCCCTCCCCGCCTCCTGCGGCCGTACAGAGTGTGTGCTTCAGCCCACCACCGTACCGCACCGCTGCTGCTGTCCTCCATCGCAACGCCTGCAACGCCAGGCAACGTCTGCCTGCAACGCAACACGCAACGCAACACGCAACGCAGCGCAACGCAACGGCACCGCCGCCGGCACCCCTCCGTTTCACGCCGGCCCAGCGCGCACCCTCGACTCGACGCACCTCGAGAGAGGGACCCTCTCCCCCCCCTCGCCTTTGGCTTGGCATCGCGCTTGATTGCCTGCCTTGGCAGAGCTGCCACACGCCATTTGCATCTTCTTGCCCTCCCTCACCTGCTCCAGCCCTCCTCTGGTGGCCTCCGTCGGCCCACCTCATCACCATCGTCGCTGCTGCCACCACCTCGTCACCACCACCACCACCAACACCACCGCCGCCGCCGCCTTCACCACCGACAACAAGACCACCACCAACCCACCACCCACTCACCGTCCGACTACGACGACGACGACGACAACGCCCGGAAAAGGCTGCTAAGCAACATCGCCCCGATCGTGCGCCGCCGCCGCCGCGACTCGACTCTGCCCGCCCCTTGCCGTTTGCTACTACTTCGTCCTCGGACCGCCGCTTAGGCCGACTGCATCTCGGTCCAACTCACACACCGCTCGACGTCAGGCTACTACTAGTCAGGGTCACGCCCACGCCTAAGCGCCATCCAGCCCGTCATCGCGCCATCGTCGTCAAAATCAGCGCAGCAGCATCGTTCTGCCAACTCTCCTCGTCACACACTCTTTCGCCCCATCCGGCCACCATCCCGCCTAGCCAGCGCCCTTCCGCCAGCTAGACCAACCGAGCAGCGCACCGCGCTCTCGCCAGGTCATCCCAGCCAATCCACCACCTACCAGGGCGCCGGCCGCATCTCGACATCCTTCCTGGCATTCTCGCCCATTCCTCAGCCTCGCCATAGGCCTCTGACACTTGTCGCGCCAGTCATCCAGCCAGCCCGCGAGCGATCTAGCCAGCGAGCGATCCCGCCGATCCGACGATCAGCCGTGGTCCCGGGCACACAGTCATCCTCCCCGTCGACCTATCTGCTCCAGCCCGTCAGCCGCATCGACTTCCGCCCGTCGTCGGTGCGCCCAGCCCATCCTCGACGGCAGCTCTTGGCCCCTCCTCGGCACAAGCCCCTAGCATCACAAGCCAGGCGCCGCATCGTCCCCCATCTCGGCCCACTGCTTGCTTGGCCCGTCATTGTCGACCACGCCCACTCGACCGTGCCCCTTTGACGGAAGGCATTCACCACCTCCCCTAGGCGAGGCTGCCACCTGCCTCTCTCCGGTCGACCTCCCTTTTGATCTCGTTCCTGTGCAGGCCACAGACGATCGATCCCTTTTGAGGCCATCACGAATCATCTCCGCTCTCTTGCCCCCGCCATCTCTCGGATCCCCAATTCCCCTTTCTCCCCCTTTTCTTCTCGCATCCCGAGCACATTGTCGTGCAAGGGCACCAGCAGGCTCAATACCCGCTCACAGGCGTTGCGCTTCTTAGCCCCCTCGCCGTCTGCCACCAGATCGCCCATCCTCTTCTTCTGCAGCTCCCCCCAAACCATCTCGTGGCCGCCCTCGCCTCCTACACAAGAGCAACCCGCTCCGACGTCGCCGCTGCTTCTGACGACGCCTACGCTCCGAGGCCTAGGACCAGGCGAGGAACCTCACCGCCAGACCTCGCAGCTGGACTGCACCGTCGACTGTCGAGGGACGCGCTGTGCGCCGCGATTCACGCGCTCGCGCCCATCTGAAGCCGTCTCTGAGCTCCGACCACGAACGGGAGCATCGACGGGCCATCTCTCCCAGTCGTCGCAAACTCTTTAAGCCCGCTGCTCGGTCCTCTCGCCCGCCAGCGAACAGTGCGGCCTGCGGTCTCCCAAGATGCAGCCCGACTTCGACATCACACGCAGCGGCAGCGGCATTCCGGGCCCGCCACCAGAGGTCGAGCCCCTCTCCCCCAAGAGGACACTGTCGATCGTTGACGAGTCGCCCTCGCCTCCTTCACCCCAGCTCAGGCGGCAGACTGCCATCCGACGAGACGGCAGCTCGCCGGACCTCAAGGCCAGATCGTCGCGGGCATATCTCGGGAGGATCTCGTCCCCGCTGCACCACGAGCTGGCCGCGTCGGCCCACGCCACGCAATCGTCCTTGGCCGACCTGACCACTAGCGAGACGTCATCTGAGGGTGCCGCCACCGTCCGAGCAGGAGCGCGCATCCGAAACGGCAGCATCTCGAGGAACGGCACCTCGAAGCTTGCGCTGAGCTTTGCCCAGGGCGACGACGACGACCCGACCGGCATCGTCGCTCACAAGCGGCTCTCTGCGCTCTCGGGAGACGATCCGCGGACGCCGCGGCCGCGCGACGCGCACACAGACTCACCCGTGTCGGCGACGTCGAGCTACGACAGCGAGGACGACAAGCAGCTGCTCACCCCGCTGGACGGCTCCGGCTCATCGATAGCGCTCGACGACGCCGCAATGGCGACGCCGCTGTCCGACTCGTTCTCGAGGGCGTCGATCTCGACGCCTCCAGAGCCGCTGACGGCGGCGAGGGTTGGGATGAGGCTCGGCATCGGCAACATCGGTGCTTCGACGGACGTCGGCAGTCTCGGGATCGGACTCGACGGTCGTCGCGGCATGCCGGACGCGACGCCTTCGCCGAAGCCCGACGACGACCTCAGCAAGCGGGACCTGTCGGCTCCCATGATGCGCACCACGAGCAGCAGCCAGCGGGCGCCGGTGCTGTCGCGGGAGACGCTCTACCAGATCGGCACCGTGGCCGGCCTCACGCCGCCAGTCAGCTCCGTCACGGCGACGGGCGGTCTGCCGACCGAGGTCAGCAGCGTCGTCAGCAACGGCCTCGAGATGGGCCTCGGCGTCAACCTCGCCTCGTCTGCCCTGATCAACAGCATCCCCGGTGCCACGTCGGCCGTCTCGGGCCTGGCAGAGCCACGCTACCACCGGCCCGGCGGCACCTCGTACGACAGCGCTCCGCTGCAGAGGGACGCTTTCAGCCCCGTCCTCACCGACCGCGCTCCTGCTCAGGCGGCACCAAAGCCGCAGACTCGATCGCAGTCGCCGTCCACCGACGGCGCCGAGAGCGACCTGCACCGGCGCCGGACGACGGGCTGGATGGAGGGCAACGGACGCCGGCCGGACCCTTCGAGGCAGGCCCGGCACCACCGCGCCGACACCCACGACCCCATCATCAGCCACGCGCGCTCGCAGCTGCTGCAGCAGCAGCACGAGAAGCAGCAGCACCACCAGAACAACTACATCTCGCTCCGCAGCAGCCCGATGATTACGACGCAGGACCTGCCGATCGGCTACATGCTCGACATGCCCCTGTCTGCCGAGACGAGCCTCGACCGCAACTCGTCGCTGGGCGGCCACAGCAGCACCCGCGCCCGCGCCTCGATCAGCGGCAGCACGCATCCCGAGACGCCGTCGTTTGGAGAGCACGCGACGCTCTCGCCAGACGCCCACATGCACGCCGACGGCCTCAACCCGTTCCAGCTGCGCGGCGACGGCATGCGCGGCGGCGCCGGACGCGCCAACCGCGCCCACGACCACCCCGTGCACG